CCTCACTTCTTCAGATGCAAGAGAAGTGAGGTTCTTACCCACGAAAGCTTATGCTCCCAGTACTTCTGTTAGTCTGAAAGGTGCCACAGGACCCTCTGTTGCTTTTTACAGATTCAGACTAACACGGCTACCCCTCTGATACTCTGCTACTCCATCCTTCCTCCAAGGAGCCTCTGGTTTTCTACATAGCTTTCCCAAGGAGCACAGTGAAATTGACATGATTCCTTTCCCATTCCCTTTTGTCCACAGAGATTCTGAGCAGTAACGTTGAGACTGACCAAAGTCTTGCTTTTCTCTTTGCTGCTAATTGGAAATAGCAGCAGAGGGACTGGAACTGGGTCTGCAGACTAAGGAAGACAGTACTGTGTACATTAGTTGACATTTCAGAAGATTCTCGTCGCTAGCCTAGAAATTTAATGTTTAGTTTTTGATGAAAGCTAGATTCCACAGAAATGGATAGATTTTGTTCTTCCTTCACCCTTTTACTCACGGCCTGGGAGTTATTCCAGTGATTGAAAGCATGTTGATAAGAAAACTACATGAACGCATTGCGTATCTTTCTAACATTAAGAAAATCAAACTGTTATGTATAGGTATAATATATAGAACACATCCTTGAGAAAATTACTGTTGAGATATTGTTATATACAGTAGGAATAATTTTGTAACTTACATAGGAAGGACTCTGACGTTCATATGAGTGTACATTCATATATAGATCTGAAACCAATGTATTGGTTATAACACACACCATGCAGGATATCGTTTCCATGAAGGAATAGATGGGGTACTAAACTAACTTGATAGTGTTTAATTAAAAGCAAAGATACAATCTAATCATTTTGTACAGCTGAACAAGAAGAGGTTTTTTTATGATTTTTCTGGTCATATTTGTACTCCTGTATTTTTTAAAAATATCTCAGTTTTTTCAAACAATTAAAGACCACACAATGGAATGGGTCTGCTCTCACTTAGTAGGAAACAATAGGTCCCTCCCTAAGTTAAGTTTGGAACACAGTGGAGATAGAATCACAGGACTGGAAGGGACCTCGAGAGGTCATCTAGTCCAGTCCCCTACACTCATGGCAGACCAACTTTTTGGCCTGAGGGCCGCATCGGGTTTCCAAAATTGTATGAAGGGCCGGTTAGGGGAGGCTGTGCCTCCCCAAACAGCCAGGCGTGGCCTAGCCCCCGCCCCCTATCCGCCCCCTCCCTGCTCCCCCCGAGCAAGAGCTCGCCGCCCAGAGCATTGCGCCAGTGGCGCAGTGAGCTGAGGCTGTGGGGGAGGGGAAGCGGTAGGGCAGGGGTTGGGGGCTAGCCTCCCGGGCCAGGAGCTCAGTGGCTGGGCAGGAGGGTCCCGCGGGCTGGATGTGGCCTGCGGGCCATAGTTTGCCCACCTCTGATCTAGACCCTTCCTGACAGGTGTTTGTCTAACCTGCTTTTAAAAATCTCCAATGATGGAGATTCCACAACCTCCCTAGGCAATTTATTTATTCCATCTGTGGGATCTATGATGTAATGGATGTATGAATCCATTTTGAAATTGGAACTTGCTTTCCATATTTTTGTAAAACAGAGCTGAAAATATTTTGTCTATACACTATATTATAAATGTTGGTCTGAAGGCAATTACTTTTCAAACAAGGTGATATGTATGTTTTGTTAGTGAAATTCCACACAATTAATTAGAAAGTTATTAATATATCGCTGAAGGTTTTGAGATGTAATAGGTTAGCGAGAGACCTTCGAAAAAACCTCAGTTGAATTTATAATACACAGTATATTAGTTTATTACAATACTTAGTTGTTTATCTATTAAATTCCCTACATTCTCAAAATATAAAAACACAAACACAGCTGGGAATTAAAATAAGAGGGCTCTGGACTTTGCTTTGCCTTTCTCTAGTTGAGGTACTGAAGGTTTATGCCATCCATTTGCTGCAGTGATTGAATTACATCTTTATCCATAAGGAGAGCAGGAGACTATACACAGCAGAATACCTGCTGATGCACTTAAGGTTTTTGTAGCAGTCTCATCAGGCATTGTGGTGCCTGCCTAGATTTCACATGACACACAAAACTCTTCTTGTTTAGATGTATTTCACTCCCTCCCTCTTCGAAAGAGTATTTGTGTACCATCCCTGTATTCAGGTTGGTAAATGAATAATAAGAAAAAGTACCTCTCTGATGGGTTGAGATGTATATGTAAAAGCAAACAGAGGGAAGAAACCTACAGAATAGTAGCAGAGAGAACATAGACTTCATATTTTTGTTCTCATCTAAAACCAGATCAAAAAATTAAGCTTGGGAAGTAAGTATATGGATCTGATCCTGCACTCAGTGCTCAGTCAAAACCCATAGTGACATCAATGCAGATTTTGCTCAAATAGGAGGGGATGTCAGGATATGGCCTGGTGTGTCAGGAAGTGTATGAATGGCAGTTCTGAACATCAATCTAGACCTAACACTTCTCACTAGTAGGCTACAAGCGGTACATGAACTTCTTGGCAGTACAGAAAGTTCCTTTCTTAGCAACTATCCTATGGATAGTTTGGGGCGGTTGCTTTTCTGCCCGAAGAATGGTCTTTTGGAGGGTACAGCAGATTGTGTCTTGGTGCCCTTTCTGTTCTGTATGGCATTCTGAGGAGGGTTAGCGAGAAAAGGGATTCCAATGGCTTCAGCAACTGTTGAGACACTGCAGTGATGGGCACTAGTACAAAATCCTAAAACTGACAGATGACTCTCCGCTCTGGGTGCCAGATCCTGGCGCCATGCCACAACATGTTTGCACTGCTGCAGTGGCTGCACGAATTGGGCAAGCGAAGATTCCTCCAGCATGGGAGACTCCCCTGCACATAGGGCATGGGCCTAGAGGAGGAAACGGGGCCAGCACCTACATCCTCTTTATCCCCCTATCCCTCTTGGGTCTATATCGAGCACTGCTTGGCCAGACTCAAGGATTGGAGCCTGTGTCTTTTATTCCATCTGACCCAGCTCGTTCAGCAGAACAGCCAGTTGTGTGAATTGGATTGGGGCTGAGAGG